TACGATAACACAGAGAAAAATAAGAGATGCTTTTAAGATGGGATGTTTTGTATTGACAATAATGCATTGTGAATACGAGCTCTGTTGAACACTAAATGTTTCTGTTGACCACCAGTTTGACTTTAGGGAAGTCATTAAGGGACACTCAGTATTTTGAATTTCTGTGCTGTGCTCATGCAGAGATTTCTACCCCTTGAATGAGGCAAATGAATAGCAAAACACCGCCGGTTGTCTTTGTTTTTTACTACTTGCCAAAATAACTTTGCTTTTCAAAACAATCTTGGACAATTTGATCAACCGAGTCGATGGAGGTGGTTCTGACAACTTTCACAGCTTGGATCTCTTTTTTGTCAGAGCCCACGTGGTTTCCAAAGTTTCAGTGTCTAAAACCCCGCTTGGATGATGAATTACATTTAATAGCAAGGCAGGCATCTTTGTACCAATAAACCATTGTTATTTAGTTCCCACGGGGGAGAGAGAAAGTACATTTAAATACAACATCGCATGGGAATTATTTTTTTTAAGTTTTTCAAATCAAAAACTCGCACATCTACTCATACGGGAGGCTGAAGGATCACGTTGTTAAAGAGGAGTTCTTACTGTCCACCCCTGCCACAGCTCAGACCTTCTCTACGGGAAGCCGAAGCCGCTGTGCTCCTTATGACCGACCGGTTTGACATTGGGGAGGCTTTGGGTCTACTGCCCCCCCCTCCTCTCGCTTAGTTAGATTTCTCCTCAAAATCCCAAAACATTAACATTCTGAAGTGATTGCATAATTTTGTAACGTACAACCTACTGCCAGGAATCACACCAGTGTTTGAGAAGAGCCTAAATGAAGAGGACCAGTCATGGATTGTCTTTCCTCTAAAACAGCTCAGCCACTATCACGTAGTGTTTTCGTGAGAAGTGTCCCAGAGGAATGCTTTTTTTGTGGAGATGCTCAGAACCGAGGGACGTGTTTAGAGTGCGTGTGAAACACCTGCGTGAACCCCAACAACCTAATGACAGACTGCGAGACAACGTCCATATTGAGAGATTCTCACCAAAGATTTTTTTTGTTTGAGGTTTTATCAAAGACAATTTTTAGGACAAAAAAATGTATTTCTTGCAAAACCACAAATTCCCCGTCAGGTGCCGCCAAGGGGGCGTGGGAGCGGAGCTCTAATGAAGAGCACTCTGATGAATGGTATTCATTTGGATGATAAATTAATGCGAGGCACATACACATCCTCTCATTTCATCTGCCGAGATCTCGCCGTGTTTATGAGATGCTCTCTGATGTGGTCTTGATATACATTACGCTGCGGTTATATGTTTTATTTTATTTTTTATTCTTATCTCAGGCGTCATTGCCGTTTCTCAGAACGTTTCCTGCCACAGCAGTGGCCAATGAGTGTGTGTGTGTGTGTGTGTGTGTGTGTGTGTGTGTGTGTGTGTGTGTGTGTGTGTGTGGGTCTCTGGCTTTCAGCTTTCTCTGGCTCCACTTTGCCGGCCCATCACACTCTTTCTGTCCATTCCATTCAACTTTCTTCTTTTCAACAAGTCTCATCCGTCCAGTGACCAGATATCGGCAGTCATTAAGAGCACACAGCTGTCTGGCTAATTTTTAAGAAGGAAAAAAAAAAAAAAGGAATGTAGCAGAAAACTCCTTTTCCATCCCTGATTTGTCTTAGAATCACTTTATAATTAGAGACCATTTTCTTTCTCATTTAAACCTCTGTAATTCCTAATCCATTGTAATGTGGCCATTAATGACTCATTTTTTACACTCGCTAAAGTCATTAGTCATTGCTAATTACCATATCGAATAGAGGAGGCCAGCTGGGGGAATTCTAATGAGAGTTTAGTGCTTTTTAAGCAGCTGTGGGTGGAGATCTGGATCTGACATACTGTAGTGAGATGGTCCAATTCGTTTTGCCATCCATCATAACAACGGAAAGAATGGTGGTCTCTCTCATGTGGAAGCTCAGAAGCACGCAGTACCCACGGTGGTGATAATATTGTACAACGTGCTACCGCACACTTTTGGATTTAGATTCCAATTTGGGGAAATAGAACCTGGAATCATTAAAGCCGCTGTAATAAAAAAATGGATGAGATGGCCAAGAAGACGGGAAAACGTGACAAGATAAAAAAAAAACTCATTATCTGGTCTTTCAGCTTGCAGCTTTATTGTTTGGATTCAGTCAAATGAACAACATGTCCACACCTGTTTGTCTCTTGTACGGTGCTCAAACCTGACTCTAAAATTATTTTTCCGAATCCATTTCACAAGGTTTTACTTGTTCATCAATTGCTCTGGTACCCATTCAAGTTAGCTAACATTTATCGTTTTTGAAGCTCTACATTGTTGGTATCGTTTGCCAGCTGTAGTGACACAGTTTTGTTGCATTCATTTACATCACTGCTGAGGAACTACTGCTGGGGCCGCTCCTTTAACTCCTTTAACACTCCTTTTCTTAGCGTAGCGCAATAAAAGGAGCAGAGTGAATAATTGATTAATCATCGCCTGAACAAGACGCTGAAATTACAATGCTTGGAAAGATTTGCATTACTTTAATAAGACAGCTTGGTTAATGTTTTACCCAGGCACCAAGGTTGGCTGCTGTGCAATAATGCACAAGGAGCGGGGAGGACGCTCAAAGGAGGCGAGTTCAAAAGGAGGCAAACAGAGACAAACAGGTCTGTGTTTGCCAGTCGCTCTGCTCGGCTTGGGAGGAGGACTGCTGCAGGAGAGCCAACACACACACACAAATCTGTCTTTCATTCAGTCACACAGTAAATTTTACCTGTTTCTTCTCTTGCACAGACAAACTCACACTTTGTCTTTAGGAAGAAAGAGTACGCATGTGTGCGTGCGCGTGTTTGTGCGCATGCATACTTGAATGCATCAGTGTCGGTGCCAAAGCGCCATTGTTCAAACGAGCTCCTGTCGGCCGCCTGCCCCTTCCAGCACATGAGGAGGCCGACGGGGAGCCCAGTGGTCACGCCGGCTGGATGGAGGAGAAAAGGAAAAGAGAAAGGAGAGGAAGAGAGGAGAAGAGGGAAGAGATGGAGAGAAAGCAACAAAGGAAAAAGGACAATTGAATGAGAAGGACTTGACAGCTGTTGACTGCCATCTCTGGAGGCCAGCAGCAGTCAAAGCCAAAGAGTTTGTCGGCCTCTGGTGCTACTGTCCAGCTTACTTTTCATCTCTGCCGTTTCTCTCACTCTCGTTCTTTCCCCTTCCCCCTCCCTTGTGTTGCCCCCCCCTACTTCCGCCTCGACACACACAATCATGGTCCTTTGTTTGTCAATGCCGTGCCGAAAAAGCGTCTTCAGGTGAACTGCTCCTGAAAGCCCCAAAAGCAATCAGGACAGATGGGCCCTCCTGTCCCTTCTCTCTCTCAAAGGGGATTCTGGGGAATTGATTCAGGCGAGATGAACAATAGTTCATTCTTATGTTAAGATGATTGATTGGCAAGTCTTTGGGTGATCCAGTAATGATTTCATTCTTTTTGTATTGAACAAATGATAGCAGCTCCGAAATTACATTGATAAAGAAAACCCTTGTTGGGCGCAACTCCCACTTTGATCATTATGTTCTTTGGGTAATGTTGTTCTCACTCTTCTTTTTTAAACAATATGTTAACCCATACTAATAACTAATAACATAAACATATGAAACTCAGCCGTCTATGATCCTTTACGTAATTCTGACAAAATGGTCCCGAAATGTTTTGATATTTACACATTTGCTCCATCTTTTAAGGTTTAAATTCCCCACTGGATGATTTCTATCTACCTTACCGATTAGAACCTGTATTTAAATGGTATCAGTATTTATTTTCAATGCAATGTAGAAAAGAGTAGAAATATAAGTAGTACCAGTACTGCAGACCTGAGGGTGGATTTTTGTGTACAAATATTTCAGCTCATTCACCTTAATTTGTTCCAAGGATGTGCTGCTGGCACGGCTTTGTCGGTTTTTCTTGAGCTATGTTCACATAATCGTATATAAAACCAGTTTTAACCAAGTGTACTTGGACCTGATGTTTTGATGTCATGAGCATCAACTGTGTTTTCACGCCTTTTCTTTTTAAAACCCAGTTGCTGCACAGAGATGAAATTGAGAGTTTTAAAGCAGGACAACTGATAACTATGCATTGAGGTATCAGAAACAGCATGTTGCATTTCCCACTGCGCTCCAAAAAAGCTTAACCTCACGCATCCCCCTTTGAACAGTGATCAGTGAACAAGTGAAGACACACACACACACAAACACAGAGGAGAGACACCCTGCAGACAGCTCTGTGCTCTCCCGGCAAATTTTCAAAGGCTCTGCATCCATTCTGTTTGCTCTCGACTCGCTTTCTGACTGCTCTTTCATCATCCACCCATCATCTGAAAAGCATCTTAAATGATTATTTTTGTAGCCCCCCAGACCCTCCCACCCACCCCTCCTTTTTTTTTTAACTCTCGCCTCCACGTTCATGCTCCATTCCGAATGACGGCACAAAGGTGATTCACAAAAGCCTTTTTTGTTTCCGATTTGTGTCATTTTCATTACGTAAGTAGCTTTGTCACTTGTCGGGGGACCTGATATGTTATTTTGAAAGTGCAATTAGAGCAGTGGCTAAGTGTTCCTCCTCTGCCTATCAGTCCCCAACAATGAATGCGCGTAGTTCCATCAAACATACTGGCAACTTTCTTAAAGTGAGATTAATTTGGCAGGCGGGAAGCTGAGTGGTCCTTTGTGGAACTGGTTATCTTTCCTTAGCACATTGGTCTAAGCTCTCCAAGCCTGGTGGAATGATGAGTGTGTGAGTGCAGTGGGAGCATGAAGCAATGTAGGTCATTTGGATGGTGTGAACGTAGCAAGGGGTTCTTAAGATTGCTCTTCCTGATTGCGTGGAAGAAATGCGTTTTCCGGCTCGGTGCATTAACATGCCATCGACTCGCGCTCGTCTTCTCTGCACCTTTTCTGTCACCGAACAAAGATCCTGCCCCTCTGTTTCCAGCTCGCTGTCCGGCCGTATTGTTGGAGGCGTCTGGTGGTTCTTCACCCTCATCATCATCTCATCCTATACTGCCAACCTGGCGGCCTTCCTGACCGTGGAGAGGATGGTGTCTCCCATAGAGAGTGCCGAGGATTTGGCCAAGCAGACGGAGATCGCCTATGGAACCCTGGATGCCGGATCCACCAAAGAATTCTTCAGGGTGAGAGACAAAGAATCAAACATTTATTCTTACACCTGTGACAAGGGAAAGTAGAGAAAGCTAAGATCATCACTAACTGAATACAGCTCTGCTACAGTGCTGGGAGAGTAAACAGTGAGACAGGACAGGCAAGGCAGGCACTTCTAACATAAAAATGTTTAATAAACAATTGTGTTTAATAAACCTGTATTGGTATTTTGACTGTTTATTCTTATAGTTTTATATGCGATATGTGTGTTATTCCAATGGTTTAGACGGTACGATGACAAATGTAGATGTTCCGTGTAATCAAATACAAAATAAGCGGTAGAGTAAGCAGCGCCTTTACCGTCCGTTCATTGCAGACGACGAGCTAAAAACTCATCAACTCAATGCCAGTAATCATCTACGCTACGTATCTAACACAGACCAATTAAAAAACATTTACGCAGCTGACGTCACCCACGTTATAAGAAATTCAAAAGAAATTCAAAGTCAAAATGACGGCAGTCCGCCGATATCACAGATTTTAGACGAGTTTTACAGCGCTGTGATTGATGTCTTCATGAGGCAGCGGGTGGATTTATGTACAAATAATCTACCAATTGGTGAGTCAGAAACCATTTTGGGCGTAATATTGAATTAAAAGTGTGGTTGAATGAATGCCGACTACAAGCCATTTGTGTTTTTGTTGTTGCTGACTGGCAAACATAATTGGCGGCTGTGCAATAATTACGCAATAATGTCCGAGAGGCCGGACTTTGTCATCAATAATGTAACAGTCGGTTGGAAAGCTAGCACTGCCCCAAATGGAGGCTCTTTTTCCGGGCGCGTGTGCGCCGCGCTCATGCGTAACGTTTACTGTTTTGACGTGTTAGCCGAAACAACAAATAAGGTAATATGACTTTCAAACCCTCTTACTGACATTAAATTGCAATCAGTAAACCGTTACATTATGTATGCATCATTCCCTGGTGGATCCAGCATGGCAGACTCTACAGTAGACCAGCTTTTCAACCACATTTTCTCCCTTTTTTGTCATACAATTATTTCCTTCTCATTCATATTAATTAACTTATCTATTTATTTTTAACAAGTGGACCTTAAACTGCAAAAGGTTGAGGACATCTTGCGGTAGAGTTTTAAATAAATAGTGTTGAATGCCTACTGATTAGAAACACCAATTACCAACGACATTTAGAATTTATTTTACAACAACAGCTTGGACGTGGCGTCAAATGGAACGAAATGAGCAGATAAAGTATTCACACTAACGCCGCCACTCTGTCTCCCCATCTCGGGTCGTGAAACCGCTGTGGCTTTCAGAGGTCAAAGATCGCCGTGTTTGAGAAGATGTGGTCCTACATGAAGGCAGCCGACCCGTCCGTGTTCGTCAAGACCACGGACGAGGGCGTGATGAGGGTCAGGAAGTCCAAGGGCAAGTATGCCTACCTGTTGGAGTCCACAATGAACGAATACATAGAGCAGAGGAAACCGTGCGATACTATGAAGGTGGGAGGAAACCTGGACTCTAAAGGTTATGGCATCGCCACACCCAAGGGCTCCCCTCTCAGGTAAACTCCTGCCACCGCGGCGCAGCTGGATAAAAGCCACCGAGTGCTTTTATTGGAGCCTTTGCATGAGCATCAACTCTGTTCATTTGTCCATTTAGCTCAGTTCTTGCAGAGTTTATCATTTTATTGTGCATACTAGCATAGGTTCTGCATACTTTAAATTGCATTCCAATCCGACATGGCATGGCATCCATTTCACGTTGTTTTGCACATTGTCGTCATGCCCACGTCTGCATATGTATGTATGCAGCTGGCCCTTTCATAGCTGACTCGTGAGCACTAGCAGAAGTGCAAAGTTGAAGAGTAGGTCCTCTTGAAGCAACCCTTGTGTCCCTGCTGCCCTCTCATCACATTCTGAACCCTCTTCTTGAGCATTTCTGGTGGCTGGTTTCACATCTGTTTTGAAAGTGAAGCACAGAAATGCTCATAAACGAACGCAAATCTATCTTTACCGTACAACAGGACCCTTAAAAGCAGAACTACAGCTTAAGGGACCCACGTCTCATGATGCTACTTTTGCCAAGGCTCCCACCTTGAATGTGAAGTCAGCAGAGTTTAATTTATGTTTCCCACCTTCAATGCAATAACTGACAATTCATGCTTTTCTGCCGTCGATTTCCAAAACCAGCTGCTGTCTTTTCATTTTCCATTAACACCCTTTACCAATTTCCCATTTATCATTTTTACCTTGCAACTGCAGAGGGAGAGAGCAGGAGCTGGGAGCTCCTGAAGCTTTTAATCTATCTCCAATAGGCCTCATTCATTTTAATGAAAGGGGCCATATGGGGAGATTTCGTTCAATCTCGCTGTGGATTAATTTGGTGTTCCACCTTGGTTAACAGCCAAAGGTCAGAAGACGCTGACAAGAAATGTCCCACATGTTTTTTTCTCCCAGGCTCCACTTTAGATTTAGTTCAAATTACATTTTCAACAGCGAGTGGGTGCTGTGTGACAAGACACCAGGCTAAACCACATCTGCTCCCGAGTCGTGAAGCCTTCAACACGCAGCAGCAACTGCTGCTCATGGCCCCATTCCCTGTCTCTCTCTCGCTGTCTTTGTGATACTTACAAACACCGTGATGTACAGTATGTTATTCTCTGGCTATTCACAGATGTCTGATACGCAGTTTCATCAAAAAATAATATTGGGAACGGGAAGTCTTGTCGTCATTTTTGAATTGTTGGAATACTTTCATTGTTGGAGCAGTAATTGAAGATGTGTGCTGCCCACATTGAATCAGACATCAGTGTCCAGAAGATTCAAAGAGTTGAGTTCAATCATACCTGCAATGCATTGTTAATTTGATACCATTGCTCTAGTTTTTCTTATGTCTTTTATTTTGTTGTTGTCCCAAGTCAATGATTTGACACACAAAGTTCTTACTCTTGAGAGTAACAGTCGCTCTAGTAGTTTTCATATTGCAGTGCAGGCCTAATTGAAAGTAGCGCTTTGAAAGTAAATACACTAAAATGACATAACTCTTCATCTTTCAGGATGTACTGACGGTCTTCAAACTACCCTCTGTGATCAGTCTGTGAAATGTTCTGTATATATTCCCCTTGCTTTACTCCTGACATGTATGACGTCCAGCCACCACCATGCCTGCCTGACTGTTTGCGCCATCCCACCTAACATACAGTGCAGGAGCCTGACATGCACTCACCTCGACCCGACTGACCAAACTAACCAATGACCTGCAGGTCACCATGTCCACACACTTTCTGCCTGCTCCTACTGGGCTGAGTGAAATAAATCAGAGGTTTTACCCAGCTCTGAGGATACCTGTGTTCCCTACAGCTGTTTTGTGCGTTCATGTTGGGGGATGAAGACCGGAAAAAAAGGCCCAATATCACCAAACTAAATTGTCGCTGGTCGGCAGAATTGACACTGATTTGGTAGAAAAGACAAGGCCGTCCTCTTTGCTTCTTTTATGGCTGTTTCGATTGCAGATTGTGCCTTTCCGTGCTTCACGGACGAAGAGTCTTTGTCCAACGCCTGTCAGCTATAGGAAACACACACACAGTCACCAGAGAGAGAGCGAGCCTCGGGGAGATGCTTTGGATGAGCTGATTCATATAGATCTGTCATCAGGACTATGTCTATAGTTCATCACACCGTTTCATTTAAGCCTGTTTGAGAAACAGAGTTGTTGAACCTGACAGTTAAAACATTGAAAGCCTATTTCTCACTTTGTCCCTGCTGATATTTCTAAATGAATCAAAACAGGCTTCTACGCACCACGACAGTTATTGGTTGTATATTGATAGGTTAGTACAGCAATCTGTATGCTGCTGAAAGGAAATTACCTTCCCTGGACAGACTTCCACATCCAATGCATCTCCGTTTTTTAGGTGTCACCTCTGCCTCCTTCTGAGGCCCCTGCTTGGTAAAACCAGACTCTACTGCTGCATGGGCTCTCAGCTCTTCAGCCCCATTGCAGATACACAACTAACACATGCATCAAAAACCAGCACTCCTGCTTCATATCAGTAGTTACATGCAGGAGCTTCTAATATTAAGTCAATGTTTTCATAATCACCACCACCATGCGACCAATCTCTTTATATCTGTCCCATAGTGTCTCCTAATGGCTATCGTTTTACATTATTTTCAAGAAACCCAGTAAACCTGGCAGTGTTAAAACTGAACGAGCAGGGCCTCTTGGACAAATTGAAAAACAAGTGGTGGTACGACAAGGGAGAGTGCGGCAGCGGGGGCGGGGACTCCAAGGTCAGAGCCAGTTTGATGAACCCGGCGGGTAACCCACCATCACTGGGAGTGGAGGGTTGTGGGAAATGGGGGTAACCGGCACCCCACATGCAGCACTAGCACTCCAGCAGCACTTTGCCTCTGCGGTGTGGCAAAGGGCAGCGCAGCAGTGCCTGCAGCAGGGGGACGGGGGGATTATAGACTATTTGGAAAGCGGTGGCTGAATTTGGGGGGGAATTCTGTATCATTCGCCCTGATTTAAGATTGAGCAGCATGTCAAACCTGCTGCATCCCTAGTTCTCAATTATATTATATTATATTATATATATTATATTGGGATTGGCTCATTTTTAGTTGTTAAATTTGTCCAAGTACACCTTAAATTTTGACCAAAAAAAACAATTGTGGCATCCGTGCTGCATAAGTGAGAGTGAGCAGTGTGCCGGTTACCCAAAGTGATATAGTAATACACATCTACTGCCTTAGGAAGCAGGCCAACTAAGATAGATGGAGTATTAATTTAATATCACTCTGTTTCTAATGATGTTTAAGCTGCATATTTATGCGTGTGTGGTGTGTGTGTGTGTGTGTGTGCGTGCGTGTGTGTGTGTGTGTGTTTGTGTGGAAAATGGTTTAATTTTATTTTAATCTTTGAGCTTTAAGCTCAAGCAACAACGTGTGTATGTATTTGCTGCTCTGTGTCTCTGAATGAATAACATAAAATAACATGGTATAATATGTTATTTATGTTATTTCCTTATGGTTGGAAGAATCCCAGTAAACCTAGCGGTGTTGAAACTCAGTGAGCAAGCCGTCTTAGACAAACTGAAAAACAAATGGTGGTACGATAAAGGGGAGTGTGGCAGCAAGGACTCCGGAAGAAAGGTTAGTCTCCAACCCAAACCCAAACCCTCACAGCACCTCCCAGCATAACCCTGATCCTAGACCAGCTCCCAAGTCCAGCCCTCAGCCTCCATTAAACTGAACAATACTCCCATGTGGTGTCACGAGCACCACTGCAGCGGCCCGAACATAAGTTACAGAACGATTTTTAGATGTGAGACGCACGCAATTAAAATACAGACACAGCATGTTGATCGTACCTCAGATGTGTTGCTGCAATTTTTTATTTCTAATGATAGTGACGGTACTATTGCCATCACTATTACTTCTCCCCTATAGCCATGACTGTCAAATCCATGTTCGCTGTCACATTAACATGGGGCAGCAGGAAACCTGTATCGGTTAAAATGGCCTGTGAGCCTTTTGCTGAACTGCAGCCTCTGTGACCAGTGACATAGAAGACAAATGGGAACGCTACAGCGCAAGAGGAGTAAAGATAAAATCAGCAAACTGACTCAATAATGTCAACGCCACAGCGATGTCTGTCCAGGGCTAACATTAGCCATGAAAAGCTAAAAACATTTTTATATTCGGGCCGGTACTCTGGTGGTGCTCTTGTGTCTATTTCTCCCCACTGAGTCTGTGTTTTCAGATATTTAAATTGTTACAATGTTCTATATACAGATATCTATATTAATATATACATATATGTAGAAAATAAAGTCACTGTTTTTGTCACTTCCAAAAAAAGTCTCCCCTAACACAAATAGACACGCGGGTGTGATGATAACCTTGGGCACAGATGATGACATTCGGCCATTGGACTTTGCCGAACACCCCCCCCCTTGAAAACACATTAATCTGCAACCATTGCATTTTGGCTCTCATAATAATCATGCCCCCTAATTCTGTCAGCTCCTGCTCTTTGGCTCAGGTGTGTCTGTATGCACATGGCAGCTGGCCTTCTGGTCAAAATACTCCTTTGCCTCCTGTCCCTCACCCGTATTTTAATACTTTAGCTCAGGAGTGTCAAACCATGTGCCATGATGGGCCGAGTGTCCGGGGGAAAGCAGCGCTTTTAACTTCGTCGATTCAAAGAAAGGAGTTCCATTTCAGTAGAGATTTAGCAAAATGCACCGGCATTGGTGAGTCTGGAACATCCTCACAGTGCTCTCGCATAATTCTATATTCAATAATAACTTGGCTTTAAAGGAATAATTTGACATTTTGGGATATATGCTTATTCACTTTCATGCACAAACTTTGATGAGAAGATGCCAGGCACTCTCAGCACCTACGCTTGACAGCGCCCTCAACCTTTTCCTGTAACTCTCGAAAAGGAGCGAATAAGCTCTTCCGTGAATATTAGGGACGCACTTACAACCTGAATATGTGATGCTTTTTTTTTGCAGCAATTTTCTCATCCGCCTGAAAATCTCCACAGCTCTCAGAAACCCCTCTAAGCACTTATTGGCTGTGTGAAGGGCTACGACTCTTCATTAGTGGCTTTTTTTATTGGTTGGTTTTAATGGGTTTTGACACATGCACAGCACACACATACACACAGACTGTTTATTCCAAAGGATTTATTTGGTTTTGGCCCCGAGGACAAAACCAGGAAGCCTCAGTCATTTAGACGGAAATGTTTTTAGAATTCACCTTGTCTTGGATGCGAAATGATGTGAGAACCTGCCAACTTCTCAGTCCTTCATAGCACATAGTCAGACACGCTTGAGGATATGAAAATGAATTAATTTACATTAAAAAATGCTTCTAAATGACCGGGGGTGTCGCATAAGAATGTGGCCAAAATGGAGACAAAATTAATTCAAATACAATTTCCCCTTAGGGTTAAAGTATGTATTTAAATGAAAGAATAAATAAAACCCTTAAACACAATGAAGAGTAAACCATCCGCACAGAAAAACAGCTTGTCCAAGACAGATGAAATAGCACCATAATTAGACAGCAATTGTTCCCTGAGAGCCCTTTAAGTCGACTGATTTAAGTCTGAATAATTCCATTTAATTACACTCTATAATCAGGCATGAATGTAAGTTAGTGCAGTTAAGATAGAGAATTTGTGTGATATGGAGCAAGTTAAAAGATTTGTTTGTGCTGTTGCTGCATGAATGCATGCGTTGTAGGGTGTGAACACACTGTATCTCTCCCCTCACAAAATGTGATTTGAGAAATCAGCCATGTGTACCAGTTAAGAGGTTAATATAGGCCTGTTTGTAGTGTTTTAAATGTATAATCAAGTCATAGGAACCCTGGATCAGTGTCTTTGTTCATAATCTTGGGCCTGTCTCACAAGTGAGTTAGTCGAGCTTTTACATATTCTTCAATAATACAGCTGACATTTTAATATGCTAAGTAGCCGGGAACAGGGAAATAAATTGTTACATTTGTCTTTTTCTCTAATGAATGACAAAAAATAAATAAATAAACGGACCATTGGAACTGTTTTATTAATGTTGCTTGAGTTGCTGTGCAGAGTAGCACTGCAGGAGTGAGATTTGGTAACAAAAAAATTAAAACCTGATGCAACATTCTTATATTTTTCTCAATTAAAAAGGCTGATCGCTGAGTCCAAAAACGTTTATAGAGTATCATTTATGTCAGTGTCACCGTGTTGCCTCATATTCTCCGTTCCCAATGATGGAACGTGAATCTGACATTTACATCTACATTTAACCAAATGAATATGATGCAAAATCTAGCTCTTTTTGTAAAACTAAAAGCCAGAGTTTCATCGAGAATTATCTGGCTAACATATTAAATCCTACTTTGTGAGACAGGCCTCAACAATTATTTTTATTGATGATGTTTTATACTGTGGCATTGTGTGTGTGTGTGTGTGTGTCCTGCTCTGTTGTCGTTGTATCTACTAATTTTGTGTCCAATTAGCCAGAGTGGCCTGTATGCTCTGTGTGTTTGTGTGATTATACGTGTGTGTGTGTGTGTGTGTGTGTGTGTGTGTGTGTGTGTATGTGTATGTGTGTGTGTGTGTGTGTGTAAGTGGAAATCTATGCCCCTTCTCGTGGAGGACTTGCATATCTGTTTGCTTCGGTGAAAGTAATGTGTGTGAATCAGTGTGTCGGTCCTTGTTTCTCCCGTCCTATGTGTGTGTGTGTGCGTGTGTGTGTGTGAAGCCGAGTCTGCCACTATCGCTCCTCACCGCCGCTCTATTGCCCCCCCCCCCCATCCCTCCCACTCCCTCCAGGACAAGACGAGCGCTCTGAGCCTCAGCAATGTGGCGGGAGTCTTCTACATCCTGATCGGCGGCCTGGGCCTGGCCATGCTGGTGGCGCTGGTGGAGTTCTGCTACAAGTCCCGGACCGAATCGCGCCGAATGAAGGTGTCCACCGCGCGAGCCGCTGCCGCCTCAGCCGCTCAGGCCTTTCACTGCTCCGCCTTAGACAGTGGTGCTAGCGCCCCCTACACAGAGCTGCAGAGCTACGGCCTGTACGCCAACAACACTGTTAAGATATAAGGGCAGAGCACAGCCACGGGGTAGGAAACGCTGCGAACCATGTTGATGATGATGATGATGATGATGATGACAATGATGACATCTGCCTCTTCACCTTCCCGCCCATCCAACCCGTGATCACAGCAGGGCCTCTCACGGCTTCCACCGCAGTGCCACCGCTGTCCTGTGCCTCTCTCTACCTCTGCAGCTCCCTCGCTCAGTGCTCACGTCAGTAGTTGCATCACTGGATTCAATAATTGCCCTTGTGCCTTTTTTTTCCTGAAATACCGGTACTACATTTTTTTTTCGCTCTGTAGCTAATATGGTAACTTTTTTCTTGCATTACAAACGCAGGCTTAGCATATAGAATCCTCGTTTTACCTTTTGATAGCAACCCGAAATACTGTATTATTTTGACTTATCACTCACTTTTAATGGTGCATAATATAACATATAACAAGTCAGTAGTCAAAGTCCCATTGCACCCTTTTTTACCAAAATGTACAATATTGCTCTCTGTACCTATTTAGTCAACATTCACAAATGAAGGCATCCCACTTTGCCGCACAGGTATGAAGGCAATTTGAATTACAGTGGTACATCTGCTTCTGTCGCTCTGAGCTCACCTCTCCCCTGCTCCCTCTCCTCTTTTTGCTGATTGTATCGCAAACGCAGGGCTCATTGTAGTGAACATCTTTTATATGTTTACCATAAGGCAGGCCCGGCGCGGCCTCACATGTGCTCCATCTCTGCTTCGACCCCCAAACAGTTGTAACTGTCGTATGTGCACATAACTCTGTCGTAAAGGACTTGCTGCTTGTACTCCCCTCCTCCTTTCTGTGGCTGTTAGTCATCGTCTACGTGGATCAATTTGCAACAAAACCACCTTTGATTTATTTGTCGACATCAAAGCCTCTAGACGAAACACTCTTTGTGTGAACAGCAAAAAGGAAAAAAAGAAAAGAAAATCAAAGCAGGCCCGAGACAAGGCGGGATCTTAGACGTGGAATCTCTTATGTTTTAATCAGCCCACTAAAAGGCACCTGATCAGTATGCTGATGAGACTTGCGAGCAGCGTATTAGCGCCACAGCGCCTTTATCCTGGGTGGCTTGAAAGAAACAACAACAACGCCGTTGCAATTAGCGTCCGGCGTGGTCACTCCAGATCTTGCACGCTTAATCAACCAATCCAGTTTAATCAACAATGGAATAGGAGTCTTGGGCAGATACCAGAGAGGCTCTCACACACACACACACACACACACACACACACACACACACACATCCTTACGTCGCCTTTCGAGCCCACTGGCGTTTATTGCGCTAGACTGGAGAATGGAGCTATTAAACCAGTGAGTGAAGCGTCAGCGCCCCTCTTACTGCCCACACTTGGGTTCCGCTCCTCCCGTCACAGGGTGCGACACTGATGCACATCAGCCAGCACCACGGTTTACCACCCGCCAACATCACTGGTGGCCCAGATGGAGAGGGTGAAAAACAAGCACCCTTTGACTCCTAACAGCCCATTCTGCTCACGGGTCTTCTTGCCGTGCCAGCATCACATTGAGATAGTGGCATGAACAGATGCTAACGCGGATACAGTCGCGTCGTAAAGATAGAGTTATCCTACAGCGTAGCTCACAGGCCCTTTTCAAGCACATGGCTCCACACGGCTCCTCCGCCCCCTGACGAGGACGTCATGCATGCATGCGCGCGAGACGGAAACCCGGCGCGTAGGCTAATTGTCGCCCCCTTTGTCTTCTCCTGACAGCAATCCATCAACGACGCCATGCGCTGCTCCACCCTGACCAGGATGAGTGGCAACGGGAGCGGCGGAGAGAACGGGCGCATCCTCACCCACGACTTCCCCAAGACCGTTCAGACGCTGCCCTGCATGAGCCACACCGCCAGCATGGGACTGGGTGCCTCCGGCATGTGACCGTCACGTGACTGTGCTGGCGGCGGGGAATAGCCAGGGTGGGGCAGAAGAAGAGCACAGGACTCTTAAATGACCTCAAATATCATGGCCGTCTGGTTTGACCCATCCACCCGACTGGCTGTCATCTGCGCCCGACTTGAACAAGACTTAACCTACTGCCAAAATGCACTCACGGACCGCTCAGTACCAACTACGAACTGACTCGCGACGCTTTTTTTAATAAGTGGATGTTTGAAAACGAAATATGGGGGGGGTGGGGGAAAAAAAGAAGTGTGCTGCAATAAAGAAGCCGTCAACGGAGCGCGTTTTTTGAATTTTTTACAGTGTTCCATTGTGTGAGAAAAAAAAAAAAAGAACTTTATTCTTCAGTGTGACGCCTGCGCTGTGCCATTCCACTGGAGCTGTCGACGTTAGTCTACGTGTGCAATATCTCCACCTCCTCCGCTGACCTCGTACTACCTAGATGCTTTCTGATGGCGGGCGCGACGTGTCTTTGCACGGATGTGACAGCAGGACAAACACTTGTGACTGTGCTGCAAGATAACGTGATTATTATTTTGGGACACATCCTGCTCTCTTTCACTCACATTTACACGGCGTTTCGGAAGGACCAAGTGCTTCGTGTGGCACAGACAGTTTTTATGACGATGTGATTCACACTGATTTGAAAAGTCAAAAATAGTTTGATTCGATTTCTCCTCAATTCAAGGTCAGCGGCGTTTAAATCAGAGGTTAACCGGACCAGAACAAAACACGCGTTATTGCTACACATCATTTAACACATCATGCCTTGTATTTGTTTCACACATCCGCCCTCACAAATGCACATAGATAGTACACTTATTGCTGCTGGGTCATGTGTTTGACTAAAAATAAGATGGAGAGTTTAATGGTTTAAAAAAAAAAAATGTCAGAGGGTGGATTTAAAAATGAGAATATAAAATAGAGGAAACACACTAACGCATTATTCAGTGGCTACGTAATGAGTGACCTTACACTGTATTCTACTGTTGTGACATTCATAGCATATCCATCGATATACTACGGGGTATATGTGCGGCACCCGTTAAATAAAAGAGATCAATTCAGATATAATCGGGAGGAAATATTGCTCAAACTGTTGTTGGACGTGGTGCTGCATATTCCACTCCCCCTCGTGATATATTTTCCCAACTTGTTGAGATCGACCTGTAGGTGCGTGGCCTATAAAAGAAAAGTTAACCTCTTCTGGTGATTGAAACAGTGAGTGGCCGCCCCAAGAACTGCGGGGCACAGCTGACAAAGTGCAGACGGTCCTGGTTTGACATGCAGGCCGCAAAGGAAAACGCCCCCTAAAAACATTTCAATACTCGCAATACAAAATGACCATTGATGGTGTGGTTTGCATTTCTTTGTCGGTTAGTGGTTTATTTTATACTCCCACGCGTTCAACATTGACAATGACGGTATTCCTTTCGGTCATTTTGGGATTCAGATTAAAAAGGAAAGAAAAAAAGATAAATTAATAAGGCTAGCATGATTTTATATGTATATATATTTTCGATGCTATAAGACCTTCATAATCCAATCCAATCTAACAGCATCGTGTTACGGGGGATTTGCTTTCGATTGTTATACTATAATGAAGGACACTAAACCTTGAATTGGCATTTTATGTTTTCAGGAGATTTAATACTTGTTCTCCCTACACTGTCTACACTCACCCCTAACCCTATTGATAACTGGCAGCTTTATTTTTCATAAAATATTGCTTAAACAGAAGTAAATAGGAACGATTTTAGTCTGGGAAAAAGGCAAAAATATCCTCATCATAATAAAGTAATAAAGTTATCAGTCTTACGGGGGGAAACTGTACGAATAATCCAGTAATAGTTTTCCACTATGCATCAGAGTAAAGGGTCCATTCTATGCCTTCTTAAACACAAGCATCTCACTGCTCACTTTCCCACTTTTAACTTTCAAAAATAAAAAGTAAAGCCATTTGATCTCCTGTGGGGACAGAAAGCCTGTAAAATATAGGAAATCATCAGCTTAAATCCAAGCAGGTGACATATGTCAAAAGGGGTAAAATAGCCAATTGCAGTAATTCATCACAGAATAAGTACTGAAACGCACTGAACATCATCATCACACCAGGGGTCCAACTGTGTCCAAAGGTGTGATTTTATTTTAAGGTGACTTGAAGGTTGTTGCTTAAAATGAGACTATGCGTGCTGCCGGAGGCCAGAGGTCAGCTTTAGATTAGGTACCACACAGTCTCACAGCCGAGGCCAAGCGCCTGTACACAGGCTGCACTCATCCTCCGCTTCCACCGCTGGTTGTGTATTATTTTTCTTCTCTTCCGAGTTTCTTCTTTAAAGAATATGGTACCAAATCTGATAAATGATCTCTTTCTCTACGTCCTCATAGGCACAGTCAGAGTTTACTGAAATCATACATATCTCCACATACCGTGTATATAAAAGACTTTTCCTCTTCCCGTAGTGAAACTATTCGTTCCGCTCCCTCATCGCGCCTCAGTGGACCTGAATTAGTTCCCTTCCGCGTGAGTACGTTTCCGTCCCCCCCCCCCAAACTATGTCTTCTTTTTTTGTTGATGTTGTATTGATTATAGGACACGCCACAGCACTCTTCAGTGAAGGCACTACCCTCAGACAGATGTTTTATATGCCATAAAAGATTTGTACAAAATTACAATTCTAAAAAAAAATAAAAAATAAAAAAGATGCTCAATGTTTGTATTATAAAGGAGGGTTGGGGTGCTGGGGAAAGTGTTACACTTGGAATTGTGTAAAGAATATAACACTCACACACTGATGTTGAATAATCTGTGACGCTAATGCTGTTTAAAGACAGTTTTGAGTTTGTTTAATTTAAATTTCGTTTTGCAATTTCAAAAAGGATTTCCTGTTGGTGTTTTTTAAGTGCTTGGGATTTAACACCATTTGAGTATTTCTTTGTTGTTTTCCTTTTTCACAGTATTTTACTACTGGAGTCAAATCAACAGTTTGTTCCCCAGAAACATCATTAATGTTGTTTTTTAGACTATGGAAAGGGTGTTACTGAGTTGCAAAATTTAAACACTGGTCAATAAAAAAAAAAGTAAATGAATAGAACTACAGTATTAGGATTCAGTCTTTTGAGAATTAATCTTTTTTTTCTAACCAAAGTGTCCTGGAAGGAAGTCATCATGCTTTTGTAACAGAATAAAGATATAAACTGTTTTTTTGTTCAGTTTTATTTCCATAAACGTCACATATCTCACTCCTTGCCTCGAGCGTGTGGGATATGACTTTAGATATGTCAAGCAGAGGAAAAGAATGTGGTGCATGGGCTACGAAGAGTGCAGTGATCCACAAGTAATCTGTTATTATTTTACTAGGAACTAACATTGAGAACAGAAATCTCTTTTTTAAACTGGCCAAGATAGCAACCGTGCAAAATCACATGTAACATACACAGCATATACACGCAACAACAAGACTGAAGACCCGCTGTTTAACACAGTTGCCTCTGAATAAAAACAACCACGTTGCACCATCACTTCCTTCTTTATCATGGGATTAAATACATCAATGGACATAAATTTTATCATTTGTCTTGTTGTGTGAACAAAGCTTTTGAAAGGTTGCATTGCATGACAATCAAAAAGACCTGTGTGGACTTCATTGGTTCTCGTTGGGGTCGTTGAGGTTAGAACGCCTAAGGAGCACCCTCACATGCCTTCGACTGATTGGCATCAGTATGTACACTTTATCTGCATAAAAACAGGTAAATAGATCTGCACAGTCAATATCTACAAGAAGAAAACAGAGCGGATCTCTCAGTAGATTATTTTATAGTTTTTGCCACTTTTAGCTAAGAGAGATGTGGAGAGAGAAAGAGGATGAAGACATACAACAAACGTCCTATGACCTTTCATGCGTTTGTGAATACGCGGTTGAAAGCGTTTGTTCCAGCCGCCCCTCCAGCCAACCATTAGTGGTCTTTTTAAATATTTTCAGAAGGATCCTCATCGACGACACCATTGTCATTGTTTTTTGGCCGATTTGTGTCTCTTTAACCAAATGATCTATTTTGTGACCCGCCATCAGAATGGACTGTTTTCGATTTTTCTCCTACAAACAAGCTGTAAACATTTAGCACTGATAATGTTTAAATAGTTGCCTTGGAACTAGAAAAACATTCAAAGGTTAAAACGCATTTTACAGGATTCGAAACATTCCCCGGAACAATTATTCCTTGTATTGTTCAGCGTGAAAGGAGAAATGATCATTGTTGCAATGAAGATACAAATATAGAATCTGCCATTGTGTGGTGTGTGGCCTGTGTGTGTGTGTGTGTCTGTGTGTGAGTGTTGTACATAAATAGCAGGGTGTCATGCCGTGTCACACCCCATTATTAGTGACATCAACAATCGGAGATGCCCCTCTCTTCTTCTCACTGACAACCAAAGGCCTGCTGTATAATTATCGACTCTTTTGTCCTTACCCAGTTCTGAAGATTTACGATTTAGAGACGAGGTGTCATGCACTTGTAATATCCAGCACAACTTTTTCATCTCACATCAGACATATGGTCCTCACTACACGTCTAGATTGAAATTTCCAGTCTCTGGCACTCTGAGCGAGCACCTCAGACAAAATTAAACTCTGAGAACGATACCACGTCCCAGGGTTTTAAGTAATCAGTCCTTATCTAAAATTAAATCTGGACGTGTCACCTCTCCTGGATCATTTGAACACCATTAAATCACATCATCAAGTTGAAATGTATTTGTGGAATGTCTTCAGTATTACAATTAAAAAGAGGCGCTTTTCACCAGTGAGATAATGAGGATGTTCAGAAACAACTGCAGGTGCTGTGATTGTGAGCAGCAGATATTGCACGTTGGGGGTGAACAGAAGCATTTTGGATGAGAAAACAGAAATGCAAACAAAGAGGCGGAAAGTGCAAGGAGACACCTCGTTCCAGCCTGTAGAGTCCTCTTAAGTGGCGGTTAATTGAGTCCAGGTGCAGATATCTCTCATCGCAAAGGGGACACACACAAACACACAAACTCACACAAGTAATGAGCATATGATTCCCTGACAGGGACAGATGACGAGCAAATGGCTTTGCAGTAGACAAAAGCAGTGTGTACATTTCTGACAACAATTTTGCAAATGATTAGATTACATCATCCGTAGCTGGCTAGCTAATTAAGCTAATGTTAGCCAAATTAGCTGGCTGTCTTAATTTAAAATGAGTCCCTTGGCTACATGCAGTCATGAAACCGTGCTAACAGACAAAGGTAGAGCGAGTGCGGGCTAATTCACAAAACGTGGAACGACATGCTAACACGTTTAGCTAACATCAGGGCAGGTAAACACGGTTTGATTTTTGGGGAGGAAGGGAGGAGGTCGTGTTTTGGGGAATTGGAAAGACTCAAAAAAGAACCGCAGGAACTATTGCAAAAACCTGAACCAGAACCCTGGACTGTGATTTAGTTGCATAAGGATGCTTTATAGACCGCCCTAAAATTTGTTGCCAAATACATAGGCCTAATGTTTTTTTAAATTCCTTTGTGACCGTAAGTTATTCTATGGTTGTGTCTGGGCTTGTGAGAATATTTGTACGTCTTTGTTTTGGTTGGCTTTACTTCAGTTGAAGATCGTGCCTGCTATTGATTTTTGCTGTGGGCGTTTTGTTTCTAAATGAGGTCCGAAACCAAACTATCTTCCCGTCTTCCTTTGCATTTCAATAATACTGTCATAAAGAGAGGACGTCTAACTGGTTTCCTGGCATGTGAGCCGGCTTCATCCAAATGGAGGAGGAAAGGAAATCAATAGTGGGGAAGACGCTGCTGCCAGCTCGTGTTGGGACGGAGTTAAGTCCTGCAGTCATCAGGGAGGTAATTCTTGCTCCTCTTTGGAACAACTTAAGTTAACTGCCTCAGCCAAAAGGGCAGAGACACACATATCTTTGTGGATGTTGACTTTTCCTCACTACTATTTCTGTGTTTCCCTTGTCCCTGTTCCCTCTGTGTGTGCTGCATACACCCACAATCAGCTGGAGGCAGTGGCTGCACACGTCTTTCTGTGTGGGAGTTTTCTTCCCGCACATATATACATGAGCAGAGACATAGAAGGAGGAACGGACATGGGTGCACATAAGCCCAAGCACACACTCTGCGCCCACGAAGATGCTGCAAGACTGAGATCAACAGCATGTAGCACTTCATCAATTCAGTCCTTGGGCTGTTTCTCTTATCGAAGGGCACATTGCCAACACGGGGAAATTGCCTCAGGACCCTCTTAATGCTTGCTTGATTTTTAAACACATGCATCTACACACATTCTTCTTTTACTGGCCAAGGATGGTTATCGCAAAATAATTCCCCTGACTTTGTTTAGACTGAACAGGCGTTTTTCACAATAGACCTTACATCATGGCTTGAAGTTCTGTATTTCCGTCCCCTCTGATTGAAAGATATGGATAAAAAGAGCCACACTATAATGTGGATGTGAAAAGCTTCCTATCAAGCTAAAAGTGCCTGGAACCGAAACTCCATTTTCATTGTTTCAATTCCAATTAACTGCGCAGCAGTACAGAACCAACACTACTGAAAGGAGTCCCTTGCAATCCACACATACAGGTGGATAGAGACGGATATTACTGAGGCCTGAGGCAGGACGCTCAATTAAATATTGCTTTAGCACTTCAGTGGTCAGTACACATATCAAGGCTCACAGCTTGAAGCTCCACGTATCCTATTAGCTGCTGATTTATAACTCATAATGTCGTTCTATTGCTCTGTAAATGAAAAAGTATGAGGATATGATGAGTTATCATTCAGTAGGAGTTTTATGGGTCCCCTACTCCCGCCTCTGTGGTGTTGAGGGTCACCCAGGGACCCACTGAAAGGGACGGTCCATCAGGAGACAGAGCCTGTTAGTCCGATCCTCTCAAGATTAACTATCCCTGTTTGAAATATGTGCTTTCTCATTGCTCATTGTTGGGGAGGGGGGAGGGGCGAAAAGTTGCTCTGCTGCCAGCTGCCATGAGGGTAAGGGGAAGCCGACATCTCTTCCTCTGTTTGCCATCTGTCCATCTCAGTGGGCGCAGGCAGGCGACGGCCTTGAGGGGAAGATGGATGGGGGTTATAAATGGCCGCTGGATAAAGAAAGAACTGGCGAGCGAGTGAGGGAGAGATGTATGGCAGCCCACATCGCCTCCGACACAATGACAGATGAGGGGATTATGGAACACGGCCTCTTTCCACAGTGATCAAAGTTGGGGAGGCTCCCTGCTCAACCCAGGTGGACTGAAAGCCAATCTTTCTGCGTGATGTGGTCAAAATCCAGGCGGCAGGAAACACCATCCACTTCAATGAAATGTTTGACTCAATCGGCCAGAATTCCCGCCTTAAATCCCTTCACTGCAAAGCAATGTTTCAGCAACACAACAGGAGACATTTCTACCAGTGCATGGGCATGTTTTGCTGGGAGCTGTGAGTGGGCAATCTCTTCAGTTTAAGCGGAGCAGAGGGGGGGGGTTGTTCTCGTTCTCAATGTCAGAGTTCACTTGACAGACACTCACATCACTATGGAAACATTCCTAACTCTAAATTCCAGCCCTCCCCTCCAATGCCCAATGCAAATTTGCAGGCGCACAAATCAAATTTGCCAAGACAGTGACATTACCTACAACGTCTCTCTGCGGTAATGACGCATTCCGACTAATGACTTTATCTGCAGTTGTGTCACTGCAGTTGTGTGTGAGTGTCCAGAGGGACCTCGCATATATGCATGAGTGCAGGTGTATTTGCGTCCAGGAGAGAAGTGTGCAGGTGCGATTGTGATTTTGGTAAACACACAGTGAAGTAATCCCTGAATAATGGATTCAGCCCCAGTAAGAGTAATCAGTGAACCCTGAGCTCAGCCTATTGAAGTTTAATAACATTCTGAATGTCAGAACACATGACAGCAGAGAAACATAATCCCCTCTCCCTGTAGAGAGAGAGAGAGGCTACAAACTTACTCACCCCCGCTCTTTCTATCCTTCTCCCACCTCTCCCTCTCTCTCCCTCGCTGTCGCTCTCTGTCGCAAACTGTACACACACACACATCAACATTGGTAAAGCCTTTCAGATTAGCCAGTGTGATTTAAAAAGCATTTAGAGAGCAGTAAATAAGAGAGAGTTCCAGTCGAGCAGAGCTCACATATCCCTATTCCCTGCAGG